TGTCCTTGAAATGCCAAATGTTGATGGGCAGTTTAGTCTTGATTTCCAGGGGAGTGACGGTGGATTTAGTTTCGGGAGGGGGATCAAGAAATTTCTACATTCACTGAAGATTCAATGGAATTGCGAATTTTTTTAGCATGCTGTTGAAAAAATATTGGAACTCCGTTGGCGGTTGACCGGTACATTGTTAGAAAATTACTCCTGAAATTTCGATTAAAAATTATTGAAATTCACTCATTCACACGAAATTTTCATGTTTTTTGTTATTGAACAATCAGTTGAATTCCGGAGTATTCAATGGAATTGCAATTTTCAAGTCCACATGATAGTGAAAATGATTAAATTATTTGAAAATTCAAGCAACAATTTCCCTGAATTTTTAATCCACTGAAATTTCAGTTGGATGTGATATTTAATTTGCGCAATGAATTTTAAAATTCTAGATGTTCTTGAAATGTCAATGATAATCTAACATGGAAAATCCAATTATTCTGAATTTCCAATCTGAGTGAGCGATTCCACGAACGATTTGCCAACAAGTCAACGAGTTAAATTGATTTCAAATTCACAACATTGAGAATTCAAATGCAACAATGACTTAATTTTCAAAAAATTTCTAACAGTGTAGTTTTCAGGGGAATGACATTACATCCGATTTCACCGAAAAATCATTTCATCAAAATGAAAAAATCATATAATATTAATAATTTAAATTTTCGGTCAATGGTGCCAATTGAGGATGACTATGTTGCATATGACCTTGAACGAACTTCTCCCAACGATTATCCATTTTTCCTAAAATTCTTATTTTCTAGAGGAAAAAATGTCGATTTAAATTCCAGGGCAATATAATTGTCATCATTGAAACCTAATGACGCTTATCTGTGAATGAGTCGACTGGCGAAATACGGTATTGAAACAATAAATACTCCACAACAACAACTAATATCTAAATTTCACACCCCTTTTGTAGACATATTTCAGGCACTAAAAAACGTTTGAATAAAATGAAAATTTGTCTGAATTTCAAACATGAATTAAGATGTTTAGGCACCTATTCGTCTGAAATTCATAAAAATTCTTATTTTATTCAGACATTTTTTAGTGTCTGAAAATTGTCTACAAAAGGTGTCTACGAAATTCCGGCATTCGTTTTTGCTGTGTCCTGTCAATTAAATGGATATTATATAAAAATAATTTTTTTCCGCCATGTAACACGACCGTATGCACACGAGGCAAATGGAAGGTATTGGGCCAGTTTTATTGAGGCCGCCAATCTATTAGGGGGTTGCAAGAGTCGGGGAGAGGGGTGAGAGCTCGAATTTATGCCGAGACTACAAATCTTGGCTTGGCTCTCTACTCACGAGCTAAAGGATGGAGCCGCACCGGAGAAGAGGCAAAACCCACACATAGTCATACCCCCCTCCCCCCCCTGGGTGTGTACCTCCCTCTCTCTCGTGTTCCCAAGTAAAACCCCGAGAGTGAAGCACGTACATTTGGTCTAGACTCGATTCTGGCAACTCATAGTGCTTCTGCAGCTTTTACCCCGATCGATTACGTACAATCGACGCAAACACTGCCATTATATATACCCCGAGCCCCAGTTCCATCTCCCATTGACCAAATCCTCCTAATTTCCCAGATGCAATACCGTAAAAAATAGAAGATAACGGACAGCCGTGACATGCTCATCATACCACTCGGAATGCCCGAATATTCGCGGTGAATATTCACAGTTACCCGAGTCCCCGTCGTATCACCCAAATTCATCAAGGGTGAAATTCCCTTCTGATCGTCTCGCCAAAAGGGGTTCAACAGGTGCGGTAGCTCGATTAGACTCTACCCCCTCCCACCCGGCCAACTTTAACATTTTCAAGCTTGATTTACTCTGATCTTAACGTTTGAATTTATTAAAAATTTATACCCCGAGGATGTGGGCTATTAACCAGCCCCTCTCTTCCTCCCAGCCACCGCCAATTTTCAACTGTACAGGTTATTCCACGAATATTGTGTTACGACGTAATCGTACATTTTCTTCGGGGGGAAATGGGATGCTTGTAAACATAAAGTTTGCGGATGGAGGTTTGACGAGACAGGATGAAGGGCCGATCGTAAAGTTGATACTTGTCTTGGGGCTATAACTGCGCATATATTTTTCTTTTTTCCTTAAAAAAAAAAAAACACCAACAATCTTGCCGCCCACGAAAGCGGGTCAGATAAAATAAAAATTTACATTTTTCACGCTAGCCCTTATCGCATGAGTCTCCGATAAAAGTTTGCTCCACAGTGGCAAAAGAGGAAAGTTACATTATACGTATATATTGAGGGGAAAAAGGTGTGGAATGAACAATATGAGAGCAAGTGTTAGTGGTTAATGATCGAGCCTGGAGTAATGGAAAGATGGATCATCTGGGGAAGGAGCGATGGAGTTTGAGGGAGGCGGCGGGCAGGGGGAGGGGGTGGAGGGAGATAGGAGAACAACCGTGGAATGAGAAAAAAATGGGAAATGTAACGCACCAACGTCTACCACGGAGGTTCTCTCGTTAAATTGATTTATCCGTCAAGGATACATGGTCACGCCATCTCCGCGACGTACTTAGCTATGCTATATTCCATAATACTTTTAACCCCTTGCCGCCACTATCAGGGTGTACACGGGCCGGCTCACAGACACAGGAGCACTCGACGGAGCACTCTGAATAGTTTTTTTATTCCCATTTAGTGTGAGGATATAACTAGGCGAATTACCGATACGGTATTTAGGTTCACTCTGGATATTACGACGCTTATATATCACGCTTCTTACGCGTAATTACGGCCGATACTTTTATAGGTTTTGTAATAAAATTGGGTGATTTCGAAGGACGATTTACGTATTGCTAGGAGGGCTGCTGGAGAATTAAATGGTGATGGGGTATTTCGAGGGGCTGCATAGGAATTGATCATTTAACGAGTTATGAAGAATATGGATTTGGGGAAATATTGATGAATGTGAAATTTTGATGGATCTTTTGCACTGTTGAAGATTTTTGTCTGAAATTAAGGTACACTTTTTGGACATTTTTATCGAATTTAATTACCACTGAAATTTCAAGGAATTTTGTCACTGAAAGTTGAGAATTTCGTGGAAAAATCAAAGAGAACTGTTCCATTTTTCTTTGAGAATGAACAGAAAACCAGAAAATTCCGGTAAATGTATTCTTGAATTTTCAGGATAGTGACATTAAATGCGATTTAGGGGGAAATAAATCATGAAATTCCAGATTGCGCCGAAAATTCAATATCATTTGGCTCTGAATATTCATATTAAATTGGAAATTCAAATAAATTAAAGAATTCTCGTCTTTATGCTGCTCAATATTCAGGAATTTTACTGAATTTTCAGTGAAACCTGAAATTTCATTATTTTTTCCCCTAAATCGCATTCAATATCACTGTCCTGAAAATTAATAGTCAACTGTCCATGAAATTTCACTTGTTTTCTAACAGTGTGGGGAAGAGTCAGGTTGTGAGAAAATTCGATGGCATTGGGATTCAGGTTGAGCGAGAGATAATGAAACTATTCAAGATGATTAAAATTTCAATTCCTCTGGGAGTTAAATGCTTTAAATTTTTTTCTCAATTTTATTGACGCAAATTCTCGATAAAAGTTTCTTAATATCTAGTGTAGTCATGAACCTCTAAGTTTTACAAAAAATTAGAGTTTGTGTCAAGTCATTGAGGATAACAGAAGCATTTCTACAAAAATTTTAATCAATATATATGATTTAATTTCAAACTAGTATAGAAATTAGTTTTTTGTTGAAAATATCAAGATTTTTCACTCAAAATTTCATGCTCTTTGTTGAAATGAACAATTTATTTAATTCTTCATAATACGGAATATGGCTGGATTGCAGAAATCATATAAAATGAACAATTTATTTAATTCTTCATAATACGGAATATGGCTGGATTGCAGAAATCATACAAAATGAACAATTTATTTAATTCTTCATAATACGGAATATGGCTGGATTGCAGAAATCATACAAAATGAACAATTTATTTAATTCTTCATAATACGGAATATGGCTGGATTGCAGGAATCATTAATTTTATGTAATCAAACATTTAATTTGAAATGAATAAAAGAGTTTGTTAAACTCCAGCGAAAATATTGTAGACATGACAAGACAAATTTTAAATGAATTGTTTTATTTCACCCAAATACGTAATTTCTCTCTTATAGATGAAGCGTCTTGCGCGTAATTACGACCGATACTTTTATAGGTTTTGTAATAAAATTGGGTGATTTTGAGAGAGGATTTATGTGTTGCCAGCGGGGTTGCTGAAGAATGCAATGGTGATGGGGTATTTCGAGGGGCTTTCGATAAAACTTCCTCAATATTTAATGTATTCATCACTCTTGGGGTTTTCATAAAAATTAAGAGGTTGTTTTTTGAGGAAAACTGGAGCATTTCGCCAAAAATTATTTCAGTTCCAAATTAGAGTTCTCAAATTATTCCATTTAAAATTATATTTGTTGTAAATTAGGATTCTGAGTGATCCTAATCGTTAATTCACAGAATCGCTGAGTCGATAAAAAACGAATGATTTCGTTTCAGTAGCGAAGTGGTAAAATGGTTTAAGTCGACTCATCTCCCAGTTGAGTTCTTCAAGAATATTTCCGAATCTAAGGGAGATAGCGAAATTTTCGTAATTACATTTGTTGTAGCTCTTAATCGGCTTTACAAAAAAGGTTATAATAAAAATTATGCTATCTCCCTTAGATTTCGAGATATTCATTGAAAACCGGTCAACAGTCGTAATTGACTTGTACCGTTTTACCATTTCACTACTGGTTTATTTCCGACAAAAATTGAGAGACTGAAAAAATTTCAAATAAAACATTTTATTTTATTCAAATACGTCACTTCTGTGAGTGCAGAAGTTCCATAAACTTATTTTCCCCGTCCAAAACCCAAAAATAATTTGAAAAATCGTTCTTTTGATTTCAGCAAATGCCAAACCATTGACATTCGACGAGGTGTACAATCAGAGCAGCCCGACAAACTGTACGGTCTACTGCGGTGGCCTGACAAACGGACTCACCGACGAACTGATGCAGAAAACCTTCTCAGCCTTTGGTTCCATCCAGGAGATTCGAGTCTTCAAGGACAAGGGTTACGCCTTCGTGAGGTAATGCACACAGACGAGCCAAAATAAAAAACCGAGTAGCTAACGAAGCCCACAGTTTTTCGTTCACAAGGAAGCACACTTTTTGTCTCCTCGTTTTTTTCGTCCCACGGATTCTCCTCAATCAGAAAAAAAACCCACAAACGCTTGCCTACAGTTGCTCGAGCACTAACACTGGTGCATTTCTCCCTCGTTTTACAGATTTTCCACAAAAGAATCGGCAACACACGCCATCGTTGCTGTTCACAACACAGACATCAATGGTCAAACGGTCAAGTGTAGTTGGGGAAAGGAGAGTGGAGATCCAAATAATGCACAGCAAACGGGACAAGTGAGTTATAGCAATCATTATCATGCGAAGAAAAAAATATGGGATTTTTGGTCTACACTGTTGGAAAAAATTTAATATTTAATGCACACACTGTTAAAAATGTTTCACTGAAATTTCTTGTAAGAGTTTTAAAATTTTCACAGCAAAAACGAATGTCTCAATTGGACACACCTTTTGTAGATATTTTTGAGACACTAAAAAACGCCTGAATATTACGAAAATTTGTTTGAATTGAAATTCAGACGAACAGGTGCCTACACTGAGAAAAAAAATTCTAATATCCGAAACATATTTTCTTGAGACAAGTACTTTTTCATTAATAGTTTAATTCTTCCAGGCATCTCAACTCACGTGGCCCGAGAAAGATCTCATGTTTTAAAATATCCTTGTACTCAAGTACGATTTTGTCGTAAATGAACTCACTCAAATTGCGTAGAAGAACCCTCAATCTTCAAGTATTTATTGTTTTCATGATTTTTTTGTTATGCATTTGCAAGATTTCGATATGTAGTTTATTCATGATATAATACGTAACGATGGTGATAAATAAGAATTCATTCGAGTTCCGTGAACCGCAAGCATTCCGAGATTTAAACCACTGAAAATAATTTACCTCTCTCAAGTAAATATGTTCTACATATTAGAAAATTTTTCTCTCAGTGTGCACATCTTAATTCATGTGTGAAATTCAGACAAATTTTTGTTTTATTCAAACGTTTTTTAGTGTATGAAAAATATCGATAAAAGATGTGTGCAATTCAGACATTCATTTTTGCTGTGTGCTAGTTACATTTCCACTGAAATTTCAAGGAATTTTGTTGTTGTACATTCATAATTGTAAATGTCAGTTTAATTCTTCTGGGAAAATTAATGAAAAATCAGATGTTAGAGAAATATTACTTTGAATTCCAGATTACTCTCAATTTTTAGGGAATTTGGCAATGAATATTCATTATCACTTGAAAATTCATATAAATTGTAGAATTTCCGTCTTTCTGTCGCTAAAAAATTGGGACTTTACTTGAATTTTCAGAGAAACTTAAAATTCCATTGCCTTTTTCTCCTTAAATAGAATTCAAGTTCTTTTTTCCGGAAAATTCAGCCAAATTTTGTTAACAGTGCAGTCAATCGGTAATTTTCAGGACAGTGACATTGAATGAATTGAAGGGGACCATTTAGGGGGGAAAAATGAAATTTCAGATTTCATTGAAAATTTTATGAAATTGCCAAATTTTGAGCAGCATGAAATCGAAAATTCCTCAATGTATTTGAATTTTTAGTGAAAAAATAAATATTCTCTGTGAAATCACACAGAATCTTCAATCAATTGTAAATTCAAGAATATATTTAACGGAATAAAACTTTCCTAGTTTCTATTAATTTTCATGTAATAATTGCTTGAAACATGTAACAATTGAATTGAACTGTTCCGGGCACCATATAATTTTTCAGCAGAATCAATTTTCGCTCCGCGTGTGATAAGATTTTCCACGGAGTGTACTGCAAACTTCAGCCCAATTTTTTCACCAATGTCCTATTTTCTGTGGCCGTGGCACTATGTCAGGGACGTTATCTGAAGAAAATCACGATCCCCCTCATTTTTTAAATCATACTGATATGTTCGTGAGCAATCAATTCAATTTACAGGAAAACATTCTGAGAAAATACTGATTTTTCATATTTGAATCCACTTTCGGGTGGGAGCACGGTAATTTCTCTGGTATTTTCTTCTCCGTGCACTCTTTATCGATTCATATGCCCGTGTTATTCTTTTCAATGGAAACCTAACGCCCCCATTCAAGAAAATTGTTATTGGCGTACGGCTTGCAGGTATGCGTAGAGGTAATTTGGATGGATGAGTTAGGTCACGGGTTATGGGAGAGGGGCGTGTAAGTTGCTCTCTCGCGAGGGGATTCCTCAGGAAGTTACCGAGAGGAGGAGAGAGAATTTCCAGTGAAGGAGGTAGAAACACATCCCCCACCATTTGAAATCCCCGTTTCCACAGCCAGAAGCACATTCTAGTCGTCTCACTCTGGCTTGCATGCTGGGTCGAGTGAGTCCCTTAGCAATTAGCGCCGTTAAGACGAGTGGATATGTCCGATCTGGGAATAGTGAGAGCCATCCTCGTCACCAACTATTTCCGCCTATCCGTCTAAAGCACAGTGACTCTCACTTTGCCCTCTGTGACGTTCACTAATTGACCTGTACTCCCCGTGGACGGGTGGTCGTCACTGGTGTTGTACTATCAACAACCGCAACCAAATTGATTCTGAACGGGATTAGTAAATATTTATTCCGGTATTTTCACTGGTTGTGGTTACACAGAGGGAAATTCGTATTAAAATTTATCCCCGAATTTTAGTTCACTTCTGAAAAAAATTGAATGTTTTATTATAGAACGGATTATTGAATTAATTATCTCGAAAGTATTCACGAAATGTTCCGAATTGTTAATTTCCATCAAATATCATGGATCTGTCGGTCTAAAGCTACCAAATATCAACACAAAATGTTACGTTTGAGTATTTCCCGGCTCCAACTCAAGAGAAACGTTTTGTTATGGAACTCATGAGAATGTTTTGTTATAGTACGGATTATTGAATTAATTACCTTGAAAGTATTCACGAAATGTTCCGAATTGTTAATTTCCATCAAATATCATGGATCTGTCGGTCTAAAGCTACCAAATATCAACACAAAATGTTACGTTTGAGTATTTCCCGGCTCCAACTCAAGAGAAACGTTTTGTTATGGAACTCATGAGAATGTTTTGTTATAGTACGGATTATTGAATTAATTACCTTGAAAGTATTCACGAAATGTTCCGAATTGTTAATTTCCATCAAATATCATGGATCTGTCGGTCTAAAGCTACCAAATATCAACACAAAATGTTACGTTTGAGTATTTCCCGGCTCCAACTCAAGAGAAACGTTTTGTTATGGAACTCATGAGAATGTTTTGTTATAGTACGGATTATTGAATTAATTACCTTGAAAGTATTCACGAAATGTTCCGAATTGTTAATTTCCATCAAATATCATGGATCTGTCGGTCTAAAGCTACCAAATATCAACACAAAATGTTACGTTTGAGTATTTCCCGGCTCCAACTCAAGAGAAACGTTTTGTTATGGAACTCATGAGAATGTTTTGTTATAGTACGGATTATTGAATTAATTACCTTGAAAGTATTCACGAAATGTTCCAAATTGTTAATTTCCAACAAATATCATGGATCTGTCGGTCTAAAGCTACCAAATATCAACACAAAATGTTGCATTTGAGAATTTATCGCCTCCAACACGAGAGAAATTTGTAGTGTATCCTTCTGTTCATGGAAACTGCAGATAAAAACAAAACTTGAAAGGGCTCCTGCAATGAGACCCTTATACTCGGGCTCTACTACCTGAAGGCTGGTGTAGCCATACGCAAAGGGAAAAGGACACTACGTTGAGCCATCGCATTACGTATGAACCCATCAAAACATTCAATCTATCCAAAATTTAAATTAATTACTCAGTCTCGATAAATATTCAAGTGAATCAACCTCAATTCAACTGAAATTTATATCAAACATTTATTACGCGTTATTGCATTCCGAATTATTATCATTATTAAGTCAATTTATCGCGCTAGTTTTCACTGAAAATCCATACTTAAAATGATAAATTATATTTAAAACAACTAAAGAATAATAACAAATCAAATCAAATTGAAGTAATAAATCCAATTGATAATTATATAAATCTTGAATTAAATCAAGGTATTAATCACAAAACCAAGAATAAAGTTTTCAATTCGTTCTAAATGAATAGAAAATAAACAGTCATCTCATATTAGTCGTAAATTTTTCTGAGTGAGGTTAATTGTTAGCTCGGGAGTATCGTCCGTTCGATACAGAGAATTTCATGAACGACCTACACTCAGAGAAAAGTAGGGTAATAATTATCTATAGAATCCCGGAAAAATTTCCTATACGAAAATTAACTCGAGCAAAATTACTCTCACGTTTAGTAAATTATCCGGTGTCAGCGGAGAAAAATTCGCCATTCGTCTCGCACTTTTTGGCCCGATATAGGGGAGGGTGGGGCAAAACGGTCCCCCTTCAATTGTCAATAACTTGTGAATGATATTGTGAAAATTCCCAGTTTCAACTTCATTTTGAAGATAATTTTTCATTCTTCAAAACGAGCTCTAACTCATCCCAATCGGATTATTGAATCGGAAAATATTGACGATTGAAGGGGGGCCGTTTTGCCCCATCCTCCCCTACAATTACTTGACTTGTTTGCTCATTTCTCTAAGAGTAGCATTGAATTTGGTTTAGTGTAACAAAGCTTATGAAACATTAGGTCTCAGATCCACTATTTGCATAATCTGCAGAATTGTTATGTATTTTTCTCTGATTTTTTTCAGATTTTAATCTTCTCACTAACTTCGAAAAGTGAATTTTCTCATAAGACTGTGCTATTTTGAGACTTCAAAATTAATTTTATTAACAATAATACTAGACTGCCGATTGAGTGCAAACTTACCCAGAATGTTGCAATTTATATTAATTTACATTTAGAATTTATTGCAAATGTTATTAATCAAAATTGGAGATGAATAATTTATTTCCTGAGGACATGAATTTTTTCTTTCGTACATTCTGTTGACAACATGCACTATTCCTCACAGTGGTAAAAAAAAACAATAATAATCACACATTAGAATCGAGTTATGTTTACATTACTTTAATTAACTCCATGAATTCCTCAACTGAGACTATAATTTACCTGTCGCTACTTCGATTTTCCTGGCATATTTACGACAATAGCCATTCATTCTTTACAACTGTGTTAAAGGTACTCGCAATTTTTTGTTTAACGATTCCTGAAAGCCGGCTATTTCGTGAATATCATTACAGCCAGACGGAAACCTAAAAATTTCAGATATGCACTTCAATAAATTATGACGAGTGGGGGTTTTTTGTCGGGTAGAATCGATCCAACAGTTTCTCAAACTGTTCTTTCTTGTCAGAAGCCATTCGGCAGTAAATTGCTAATGAAACCGAGGGACACAATACACCGACGATTACAGCATTTCGTTGGAATAATTGGCGAGTCACCAGTTTTGTACCTCGTTTCTTGACAAATGTTTCTTCTTTTGTTTTTCCCCAGCCACTGTCTTCAGCCACGTACCCTTACTACGCTGCTGCAGCGGCGCAGTTGGCCGCAGCCGCAGCCGGTGGTGTGGGTAGTGTAGGTGGTGTTGGTGGTGCTGGACAACTGTCATACTGGTATCCTCCTCAATCTTATCCCACGACTGCTGCAACGCAAATGCAGGCAGGCGGATTTCTCCAAGGAATGCAGGGGTACACGTATGGACAATTTGCTGGGTATCAGCAGGCACAGTATATGGGGTAAGTTTATGTTAATTGTTACTTTTTTATCATTCCGACCGCAAGGCAGCGCTTAGGGTCTGGCACTTTGGCCCCGGGTGAAGAAAAAAATTTTTAATTTCCACATTTCTGAGCCCTCTGAGAGTTTTATTGGCATTAAAAGGGCCAATAACTATGGAATCAACATTCACTTGGCGGAAAAAATCGATTTTGGCGGAAGTTCACTTTCCCCCGGGAAAAATCCAAGATCTGACACTTTGGCCCCGGGTGAAAATTCCAATTTTTTATTTCTGCATATCTGGCGCCTCCGAGTGCTTCATTGGCCCCACAATCGTCAGTAGATACGGATTCAACGGTCACTTGGCGCAAAAATTCGAGTTTGCCGAAAGTCGACTGCGCCTGGAAAAAGCCAAATAGCCCCCCCCCC